TTGCATCCTAATTAGGTGCATTAAAATTAGCTAGGAATACCATGTTCCCAATCTGTATTCAGGACATGCATTTTGGGCTTGGATCTGAAATTCCAGTTTGAGCTGTCTACAGGTCTACTGCAGCCTTCCAGAAGAGCTTGCTTTTCCTTTCCTGCAAAACCAGCCATGTGGCCCTGAGCCAAGGTTTCCTTGCTAAGGGCTGAATGAGCCTTTCAGACCCTCTTGGCAGACCTCACAGTAATACACACGTGTATCAAGAGGAAAAAATAATCCTGAGGACATGGAGCAGATGAATGGAGCTGTGGGCCAGTTCTAGTCCCCAGTTTCACAAGTTCCTTGATAATTTCCTAAGCAATTATGTGGGTGTAAGGTCTGACCACTGATTTTCCTCCCTTCTCTTTGACCAAGGCTATTTTCTCTGTTGTCTTACTATTCCTTGCTGAACTTATTTGTACTCCTACCCTTCCTCTGGCTTTTTTTTGTATGAGTCTGCCGAGAGTCCCTTGTAGCAATCTCAGACTCCCTGTGACCTATGTCCTTAAAATCTGATTCCATCCTTTCCTGTTATTCAGAGCTCACTTTCTTATAACGTATCAGGTGTTTCTTCCAAATGGAGCCTTTTTATGTAGTCCCACAATTCATGCTGAGCAACATCTCCTAAAAGAAAAGTGGATACTTAAGAATTAGGTCCTCATTTAGCTGTCTTTCAGTCCTGCTGGATGTCTGTGTAGCAGAACCTTTATGCTAAACAAATATAATCTCCACGTATTCAAAGTCACATTGGTCAGCTCTCTTCAAATTACATAGCCTGTTGCTGGATAAGGATTGCATCTGCAACAAAAGCAATGCATTTTGATTTGTGGATACATAAAGAACTTAACATGGTTACGGAAAGACAAGGATTTAACCAAGTATGGCTTTAATAATGTTAACTAAATGTCCATGAGAACAATCGAGCTGTAAAGAATTCTGACTTTTGTGTTGTTTAACTAGTAGTGTTTGGGAATATATTTTTGATTAAGGCTTACACTTAGCAGTATCCTTGTAGAGGATGTTTGCTGATGACAGCTCAGGACCCAAATATTGGACCTGGAAAATGTTTCCAAAACTTGAAGCTTTGGAGAAATGAGGAAAATTTGACAGATTTCCCACCTTTTGTCTCAATCCCGAACACCACCATTTATTTTCCCAATATGTAATTATATTTTGTGTATCAGATCTTACAATGCTATAGTTTTATTAAACATCATCTGATTCCCATGTCTTTTCTCCAGGGCTTCTGAACACGCATAGGTGTCTATGTGGCACACCGAGCCAGCCACTAGTTTAAAAGCTGGTATTTTACTTCCATTTGTCAACTTAAATTATTTTAACACTAGAAAGTTTCCTTACGACAACATGCAATTGAAAGTCTTTAAGAAACATCTGAAATGCCTACCCAGTGAATTTAACCAGAAGCTCCCTTGCTTGCTCCTAGGTTTTTTATGGCTATGAATTAAATTTATTATACAGTAATGAACCATGCAGGATCTAAACTGACCCAGGATTTACTTTAATGGATCGTTAACTTGTCAAGTTCCCCCTTCTTCTTTCTCCCTCCTGATATTTTCTTGTCTTGCCAGAATTCTCATTATCCCAACTATTAATCCATTTATTAACTTTGGACAAGGATGTATTGCATTAATGAAGACTTAAAAATTAATGATCAAACAAATTAAAAGTCTGCTGTAAAAGAATAGAATACAAATAGCCTCTTTAAGATATGAGTTGCATTTATGCTCCAAATGAATGGCACATGAACAGTGTGATAGTGATTCAAAAGTTAGTTCAAACTATGCAAGGTTTTCTCCCAACTTCAGTAGTAGATGTACAGAACTCAGTGTGGTAGACAATTATTACAAGTTCCTCTTTCCGTAATGTTACTTTAAAAGTAGTATTTTAGATCAACCGCAAAAATAACTTCCATAAAAAATGTCAGCTGTGCTTTTCATTCTTGTATGTTTCAAAGGAAGACATTCAAATTGTATTTATGTCGGAATAAAACACTGGAGCCAGTGTAGCTACCGACCACCTCCCATGTTGTCCCTAGTTTTCCTAGAAAGTGTGATCAAATATTTAGGACATAGTTTTCCTAGAAAGTATGACCAAATGTTTAGCACCTACTACAGCTGAATGTTTGGAAAGTATATGTAATAGGAATCACAGTGCACTGCCTGCTCAGATACCAGCATACATTATATGTGTAAAACAGGGAAATCCCTACACTGGACTATGAGTGAAATAATTCATGGCTTAATCAATTCATATATTTATAATCTATAAAGAATTTATTTTCCCTTTCTGTAAACACTTCCCAGAAGACACTACTGGGAAAATAGCTGAATCAACACACACACACTCATTTCTTTCTTATGGGTGTGCTATTCATTGTGCCTCCTGTGAGACAGCAATGAGCCAGAACAGGTATCTGAGAGTCAATAGTTCTGTGTTAGCCACATTTAGGAGAAACAGCGAGACTTTTTTTCTTTCTCTTTTCTGATTTGATCCATTCATAGATCTGTTACTGTTAAGGATTTTGGGTTTTGCACATATGTTTGTGTTCACATCAGTTTACATCACAAATTATTATCGCTCTTGCTCCCACTGTACCAGCTTTGTGCAAGCTATAAATATCTAATAAGAGTAACTGATGTATTTTACTACTTTACATTCATGACAGATGTCATAATGTTTGTGTTATACTGCAAATGAATATGAAGTGACTTACGTTTTGTGCTTGTCTGATGACACTTGGGAAGAGCAGTGCAAGTGGGATGGCTTCAGGTTTCAGGGAGCTTGAGTATAGAACGCAGTGGAAATGTCAGTGAACCAGCATGTTGGCGTGCACTTTCCAGTCTAAGAAATTGTTTTGTAATCTAATTTGCTAATTTGATTGATTCTGGAATTTATTAGTTAATTTAGTTTGCTGAGGATTTGATCTCTTCTTGAGTAGAAGGATTTTCTGGCTGCTAAGATGAGTAAGCCTTCACCATTGTGACATGTCCTGACTTCATGCTACAGGGAAATTTGGGTACAAAACATTTCTTTTTTCATGGTATGTTGGATTTCATGAGAAGGAAGGCCCAGTACGTGTATTATAAGTGAGCCATAATATAATCTGGCTAAGTCCTCTGTCTGACCTACTGGAGAACAGGTCTTCTTGCAGAGATCATGGCAGTCCACCCTGGATGCTCAGCATAGACAAAGACTATATTGTGCAGTGTTGATGGCAATACTTATAGCACATGATAAAGTGTGGACTGTGCATGAAGCACTATTAGACCAGCCACAATAAGAGGAAGTTACACTAAAGTTGCATAGTTTATCTCCCTTTGAGCAGAATGGCTTTAATCTAGCAGATGTTCCCCATCTTTCTGATCCATAATTAATAGCTGGAAGGTGTGTCCTGACCCAGGCTATTCTTGTGCATCTTCTGAATCCTTCATATCAACACCATGGTTTCTTTTCTTTTACCTTATGTGGGCACTAATTCAATCAATCACACCAGGTTTTCTATTTCTAAGAGGCCATATCAATCTTCTTAACATTGGAACTTGCTGGATCTAGGAGCTTCTCTTGATATTGCTTTAATGAAAATGTCTCTGACAAATTCCATCCATAAGCTTCACTCTATTCTCACAATATCTATAGCTTTGAGTTAGCCTTCTAATGAACATGAAACTACCTCAGCAAGTCCATGACCTAAAAATGACTTGCAGTCATCTTGTAACCATTTGTGCTGAACCACATCACAAGTTATTCTCCCTTTCCAACAACTTGAACACCAGTAGGAATAAGCAAATCACTTTTTCCCAAACTCCCTTGCATACATGCTGGAGGCAAGCAGTCTCAAAAGGGTCCAAGGTTTCAATGCTTTCATCTTGAGGCTTCACAGAGCTACTTGAGAACTACATCTCGGTCTTGCTCATTTTATTTATTTTAGCAATTGAATGTAAGTTCCTGGCATAATTTCAAAGTATGTTCTGTAAGTTAATAAAATTATAATATTAAAGGGAAAATAGTAGTATATTCTCAGTGTTATAGCTCCATTGTGCAGACTGGTGGACCTTCTGCCAGGTCATCTTTGTTACATTTAACCGTAGATCTCAAAACCTCATGCATACTGTAGAAAATTAAGAGCAATAAGACTAGTAAATTCTAGTTTGAGGGTATTTATTACTTCTTGATTTCTGTGGAGAGACTTACTCTTTATTGGAATAAGCAGGAGAAACACATAAGGTGAATGCTGCGGCATGTTCACCAGAGTTAGGAGTTAGGGATTTGGGATTCAAAGGTGGCAATCTGGAAAACAGCAATTTTTCTCATCTAATGCCCTAGAAAACTTTATTATATTTCTGAAGGAGGTAGTGGCACCATGTAAATTGTGAATAACAACATTATCAACTCATGACTGACAGCAGTTTCCAAATGCCTGCATTGTTAGTGAAGGTGATGTTAAGATGCTCAAGCCTCTGGTCGTTGACATAGGACATAATAACTAAATGCTTCTCTAGATGTCTGAATCAGATGAGAAAGTACAGTGCTTTTCTTTAGTCCTTGATCCTTACTACTACTTCCCTGATGAATCGAAACACCCATTTACAGAGCCTGCCTTAGAGAACCTAAAAGAGAAAGGGATCTATGTTGCTGCTTCTCTCCGTTTGACCCTTCTAGAAGGGCTCCACTGCATGAGGAAAAAGCTAAAGACGTTTTAGAACCACCTCAAAACCCCAAAGAAATGTAGACTTATTAGACAACTGCATTATATTCTGTCCTTAATGTGTTTTCAGAGATTAGCTTATCATTTCTTAATTCTTTGTTCTCATTCCTCTCAGGTTCAGAAGTTCTTGATGCTTTATGTTAAAGTAACTAAGGATGCTAATTTTGCTTTTTGTCTAGTAACAACCTTGGATCCACCAAGCTTTTAAGAACCTTTAATTTGCATAACTTTTCTTCAACAGCAGACAAAAAGAGAAGAATAAAATCTTAATTTGAGAGTCAACCTTTCCAAGATTAAAGGGAAAAGAAACCAGCTGATGAGAATGTTGAACTGTTCCTGCAGAATGGGTAAATATTGCAATACTTTTAGTTAAAACTTAATCTTCTTTCTTCTTTCTCCATATCATCCCCTGAAGTACTGCCAGAGTGGGATTTTTTCTTGGAGTGTTTGCATTGTTGTACCAGAATTGGTTTTATTTATTTACTGGATAAAATAATCCCAAAGGTCACTTGTCAACATGAACATAATTTGCAGTAATCTGACAGCTTCTTCCTTAGAAGTTTGTCTCTCTTTATTGCTTTATTGGTGATTAAATAACTTTAGGAATAGAAGAAGCTCAAATACTAGACTGAAGCTGCATTCTATGCTTTGGGGGTAGATCAGTCCTGTGACAATTAACTTTTAGGTGCTAAATAATAAGAAAAAGAAGATGCTAAATATTTTAGCTGATGTAGCACTTAGGATTTCACAGGTTCTAGAACAATAGAACATCTATGTCTTACATCAGTGAAGTCATATTCCTTGTATGTAAGCACAGATGCTTGAAAATCATTTAGATTCTGCAATTTACGTAAGTTAAATAAGATTTCCCTTTAATAGATGGCACACCTGTCATTATTGCCTAAGATACAGATTCATATTCTTTTCATTTGATTTCTCTTTCGATAGTTATTTAATCTGTGTAAATGAATTTATAATCTGTTATGCCTTACTTGTCTTACATTCTTCTTTATTTATCGATTGATCCATGTGGATAGGAAGTAGGTTAAGTATTGTTGTGAAAGCCTGCTTTTCCTGAGGTGCTCCTGGTCCCAGCTAAGGTGAGAGGTACACCAATTTGTGTTCTTAAGAAGACAGGGGCTAGGAAAGACATCATGAAAGCAAAACGCTCTAAAATGATCTGGAGGAAGGATTTGCCTCCTACCAGGCAGGTTCCATTAAGGAATATTTCTACAGTAGTTTGTATGCTTAAAGCAAGAAGAAGATTGCTTTGTCCTTTAACTTCAAAGGGAGTTTTTCTACCCTCATCTTCTCTCTGTAACAATGAAGTGTCTAAACTGCAAATTATTCAGAAGCTGGAAAGTGACTCTCCAGCCACTGCAAGGAATTCCAGTAGCAATATTTAAGTTATAATCCCATCGATTGTGCAGATTTCTCAACTAAGGTATGAAAGAATGTGGATTGGTCGTGGGTCCAACAGTTATAAGTAGAAAAATGCTTGAAATATTAGCATTAGCATAAATTAGCATAAGTTATTATAATTTTCACAGCAACGCAGAAAAATACCTTGCTCCTGGCCACCACATTATGGAAATACGCTTTGCACTATAGAAATCTTTAAAATTGCATGGAACTGAGGTCTTAGACCTTCCCAGTAAATATGGCTATGAGATTCTCCACGTCCCACAGTTGTAATATAAATCTACAGGAGGTGGGGTATTTCATATATTATAGGGCTTAGTAGCAGACATGAGCATATGCTCACATGGCACATTGTGAGCAGACGTGCCCTCATTTCACCCAGTCTGAGCTGACCAAGTGCCACATAGCTGTGGTCAGGGTGGCACCGGGCCCATGCTGACACCATGGGGAGAGGCAAAACTTGGCATTGTTACAGCTTTGGGCAGTTTACAGCATGGGCACAACAAACTGGTGGTTGTAAGGTCTCACAGAGGTAAGATGCAAGATCTCAACATACCTGTAATTGCTGGTGTTTGTCCCCAGCATAGTCTGCACAAGTTTGTTGCAGAAGGAACAAGGGGACTCTCCTACTGGATGAACTGATGCATAGAGCGTGGGGATGTCCCTCCACACCCAGATTAATCTACTCCTGGTCCTGCCAGAGCCTCATGCAAGGATTGAGTTGATGTAGATGCTTTGCATTACCCCTCTGTGCAGTTGGAGCCAGGCATGCTCCATTGAACTGACCCTCCCAGAGCAACAAAGCGTTCAAGCTCAGAAGTAAGGATGGAATTTTAGGACTGCCAATTATTTTCAGAGCACCTGGGTGTCAAAATTCCTCTGAATTGTAAAATTGTAGCTCAAATTTTTGTGTTGCCTAGAAATTCTGAAACTAACTTGTAATATCAATCATTTATTCTATATAGAAAAAAAGCTGCTTCTCTTAGAGGCATTTATCCTAGCGGTCTTTAATAATGACATTTAGAGAGCTGAGCCTTCAAATATTGAATATTAGTGTGTTAGTGTGTGTGAAAAGCCAGTGGCTCTTTTCTCACCTATGTGCATCATCAGGACTGCTTCTACAAGGAAGAGAATATGCTTTCAATTCTTCCTCTGATCTCCCTTGTAGGTAACGGAGTGGAAGAAGTTTGCTCTTACATATAAGCTGTTGGACCTGTAGCCTCATAACATTCAATATTTACAGAATTTATCCTGTAAATCAGAGCAATTTATTCAGTTCTGTGCTATAAATTGTTACATTTCTGATAGTTCATTTCTTCCTTATATATATTTTCACATAGTCCCATGCCCCTTTGGGGAAGCTTGAACCTGAAAAAAAATGTCCAAGGGAATATAAATGATCTGCCCTTTTCCAGCTGACTAATGCGAGCCATAAAACACTTTAAAATACAAAGGAGACTTAACATCTGGTCAAGTTTACTCATCATAAACACACCTGAAAGAAAAGCACTTCTTGTTCTGTGGAGCAGAGCCAAATGAATGATAGCCTAAGACAGACGTTTCATGTTGTTATGTGCAAGTGCTCTCTTCTTGCATTTCAGTGGCTAAATTAGAGGTAACTCGATAGTAAAATATGCAGGTAGCCTCAGGACACATCATATAGTCTTTTATTCTGAAACCTTTCCATAATTAAAAATGAAACCTAATTACAAACTCCCCATTCTTTTCCTAAAACGTCACAACACTGATGTTTTCAATGTCATTGCCCAATCGATACAATAACACCGTCAGGTCTGGAGCAGTGATGCAAGATTTGTTAACAAAATTTATGCTTCAACAACTTTTCTCTTGGGAAAGAGGGAAAAAAAGAGGCAGTATTAGAGATGGCCATGTCTGACGTATCCGCCGTACTATGGTAATGGCTTAAATTGCGGCTTTCCTGGTGTTTTCAGTTGCCCTGCTGGAAAAAATACAGGTTTAGATGACAAAGTCTTCTCTTTTTCCTACGTCTTGTCCCGGGCAGGCAGCTGACGGCTCGCCAGCACCGCCCTCTGTGCTTGGAGAAAGCAGACAGCCGCAGCAGCAAAGAACGCTCCGAGGGACCAGGCAAGCGCAGGCTGAATCCCTGGCTCTGCCCAGTAGGGAGCAATCCCTTTGTGCAGGGATCTGTAGCTGCTCCGAGCAGAGATGCTGCTCATGGGAGGAGAAGGCTGTCAAGGGGATGCTCAGGGCTTGCTGCTGTGATCGGTGGTCCCCCATTCTCCCCTAGAGAATGCTCATTCTCTGGCATTAACAGATTTGATGTTGTAATGGTGCTGGGGTAAAAAGCATCCTTATGCTTCAGCACACACAGCTTCTGTAACTGGTGAAAGCACAGAATCATAAAATATATAAGCATAGAATTATAGGATATATAAAGTTGAAGGGACTTATAATGATCATAGTCCAGGGCCCTCCCAGGACTACCTGAAGCTGAACCATACAACAGAGCATTGTCCAGATGCTCCTTTAGCTCTGGCAGACTGTGCCTCCCTGGGAAGCCTGAGAAGAACTTCCCCTGATCCAGCTTCATTCAATTTCCTTGTGTCCTATTGCTGGTCACCAGAGATCAGCACACGCTCCCACATCCCCTCCACTGTTCCCCTTGAGGAAGGTGTAGACTGCAATCAAGTCTATCAGGTCACCCCTCAGCCTTCTCCAAGCTGAGCTGAACAAGCCAAGGGGCCTCAGCCATTCCTCCTAAGTCTTGCCTATGAGACCTTTCACCATCTTGGTCACTCTCCTCCGGACATGCTCAAATAGTCTGATGTCCTGATATTAAGGTCCTCAAAACTGCACCTAGTGCTGGAGGTGGGGCTGCCCCAAATGCAGTGCAGAGTGGGACAATCACCTCCCTCAATGGGCTTGGCATGTTGTGCTTTATGCACCCCAGGACACAGTTGCCCGGGCACACTGTTGATTCATTCAACTTCCCATCTACTCAGACCCTCAGATAACTTTCTGTGGGGCTGTTCTCCAGCCTCTTGTCCCCCAGTTTGTATGTAAACCCAGGATTACCCCATCCCAAGTGCATAATCTAGCACTTGCTCCTGTTAAACTTCACATGGTTCCTGATTGCTTAGCTCTCTAGCCTACCCAGATCTAAGGCCTCTACCCTCGTCCACAGCTGCTCCTAGTTTAGTATCACTGGCATACTTACTTTATGTACATTTGACTCTGGCATTCAGATCATTTATAAAAACATTAAAGAGCACCAGCCCTAAAATTGACCCCTGGGGAGCCCCACTGGTGACTGGCTGCCAGTAAGCCTATTTACTGTAACTGTGCCTGACCCGTCAGCCAGTTGCTCACCCATTGTATGGTATGAACACATCAAGTGGTGATTGTGTTTGGGGAGAAAGAGAGGCACTACTTTTCTTAGTTAGATCTCTGAGATATGCCTCTGGAGTCAGGTTCTCCTGGTGTAGTTCGTGCTGTTCGCAAGCAGCCCTGCTGAATTTAGTGGGACTGTTTGCAAACTAATGTAGGACTCAACATGAGTAAACATGCCCGTGTCTGTCCTTATATAAATACAAATCAGCCTGGAGTCTGTAAAATAAATACAAACAAAATTCCTTTACTCCAGCTCAGGATCAAAAAAGAGGAATGGCGAATGGCTGTTTTCTTCCCCCCATCTCAACCAACATAAATGTACCCCTCTGGACTTTACAATGTATTATTTACTGCCTATTTCTACCTAACCCAGAGTCTATACCAGCAAGAAAGACCTTATCTGTCTTCAAAGGAAGATTACATGTCTGCTGCTATAACCTGCATTTCTTCTTGCCCTTCTTGAGAATCATTGCTGGCATTTAAATCCCATGTGCAGGCAACTGTGTTGCCCATGCATCATTAGTGCAACAACAGCATTAGGTCTGGTTCTCCCTGTT